ATGCCCCCCCCCCCTCCACAAAATGTGTGATCCCATGGCCATGCCCCCCCCCCCTCCACAAAATGTGTGATACCATGGCCCTGCACCGCCCCCCCCCACTAAATGTGTAATACCTTAAACCCCACGTACGCACTTTTTAACGAATATTCTGACATTCACCAATGTTTTCTTATCTTAATTTGTTCTTAGCTAAGAACAGAATCTACGCACACTCAAGACCATTCGTACACACATTTGAGTAATGATAGTTTGTTCAAAATAATCGGTTATAGCAGTTTTGTTCATTCTACAGTTCGTAAAATGAAAGCATTTGAATAATTTATAAAAGTAAAATCTAAAAAATAATTTTAAAGTGTAAAAATTATTTTCATGGTAGTAACGGCGATCGTGCGGATTATAAATAGGTCTGTTTCTGCGCATTGGCCTTGCTATCAAAATGGCATTTCTGTTACTTCTTGAAGAGCTTGCCGGTCGTGCTCTGAGAAGGGAACGCATGTTTGAAGATCATTTAGATTTATTAGGCAAACAGCGTTCACAGAGAAGGTGATATCTTTCCATGTATCAGCTTTCTTGGGGGCTTTATATCCACTGGTTACGCTACTAAATAAGGCTATATATATATATAATACACATACATTATATAAAAGTAAATACTTGAAATATGAAATATACATGAAGTATGAAATGAGGAGACGATTGTATATGTATAACAATGTACTGTATAAAATAATGTGTAAGGTATGTAAGCTACATATATTAGGGATGCAGAGGGAGCACAGAGACAGCTTCATGCCTAATGTCCAACTCGCTCTTCCGTCTCTGTGACGTGCTGTATGGCCTGGGGGACAAAAGACCTCCTCAGTCTGACTGTATAGCAGGACAGTGACCGCAGTCTGCCGCTACACACTCCTCTGCCTGGAGCCTGTACCGTGCAGGGGGTGGCTGTCACTGACCATGATGGTCAGATGCTTATAAAGGCTCCTTCTCCCTGCTACTGGTGCAACGGAGTCCAGCTCTGTACCAACCACCGAGCCAGCTCTCCTCACCAGCCTGTCCAGTCACTGTCTTCCTGATACTGTGTCCCCAGCAGACCACAGCATAGACGCAGAAGTTTCCTGCAGATGTTGAAGGACCGTCCAGGCCCTTCTTATGGAGCACCTGTGTTTGCTGACCAGTCCAGTTTGTCGTGCAGCTGTAGCCCCAGGTACTTGTAGGTCCACGTCGACCCCCTCAATACAGACTAGTGAATGAGGGGGGCTGGACCTCCTGAAGTCCACCACCATCTCTTTTGCTTTGCAGGGGTTCAGCTGCAGATGGTTTGACCTGCACCATCTCACAAAGTCCTCCAGCAGGCTCCTGTACTCCCCCTCTTCACCATCCCTAATACACCCCACAACTCCTGTGTCATCTGAGAACTTCTGCATGTGCTATGACTCTGAGTCGTGAGTGAAAGCAGATGTGTATAGGGTGAGCAGGACAGGGGAAAGCAGAGTCTCCTTGGGGGGGCATGTGGGCTGCTGATTACAGTCCCAAAGGCTGACAAACTGTGGTCTCCCTGTAAAGTGATCTGTGTTCCTGTGAACTGTGGTCTCCCTGTAAAGTGATCTGTGTTCCTGTGAACTGTGGTCTCCCTGTAAAGTGATCTGTGTTCCTGTGAACTGT